CTTCGCCAGTGTAGATAATACACTGAAGAGGTCCCAAGATGGGATTAATGTGCGTACTGGGGGACGAGTATTAAACATCCCCTTGATCAGTTGGCTAATTGCAGGGTTGCCGGAAACGGAGGAACCGTCCGAAAATCCCTGATGGATCGCGGCAACGGCCGATCGATAATTTTTGACCGTGGCCGTCGTGAGCCCACTGTTAAAAAGGTATAGGAGGAAATCCCCCACTTCCCCTACAGAAGTATTGGGGGATGAATGGATTGCCGTCTACACCATTTAAAGAAATGGCGTAGTCGGCTATCGTACACCTTTCTGGTTGAGGCTCTACGGGACTGGGCTGCATTGTTGCAGCTCGTCGCGAAAGGCCTGCTGAGCAGAGGGATCGCGTGACAATACCCAGCACATCAGGTGAAGATCCCCCGGAGCCTGGTGACTGATTCCCGAGCTGGGCTGATAAAGGAGATCGGCCCTCCTCGGTAGAATTACCGGGTGGTGAACCAAGAGTCGGACGAGCCGGGGAAACCACGGCTGGCGGGGCCAGAACGGGGCTATGAGGAGAATTCGGCAATCCTCCTGCTCGATCTTGGTCAGCACTCGAGAAACGAGGGAGATGGGTGGGAAGGCGTAGGCCAGTAGGCCGTCCCACCGCACCGACAGTGCATCGGTCTGCCACGCGTTGGGATCTGGGCCCCTCGCGCAGTAGATCGGTAGCTGATTGTTCATTCGCGACGCGAATAGGTCCACATGCGGCCGGTCGATTAGTCTGAAGATCGACTGAGCCACCTGTGGGAGCAGTGACCACTCTGTCGGGGCGATCCAGCCTCTGGAGAGAGCGTCGGCTGTGACGTTCTCTTCCCCCGGGATGTGGACTGCCGACAGGGCTATCCCGTGATGTATGCACCAGAGGGTGAGATCCCACGTTAGTGCACACAGATGGCCTGACCGAGTGCCACCCTGGTGATTGATGTATGCCACCACTGTGGCGTTGTCGCATCGTACCAGGACTGCTTGCCCTCTGACGTCCGACTGGAAATGTTTTAGTGCGTTGGTGACTGCCAGCATTTCCAGGACGTTGATGTGGAATGACTGATGTGCGGGGCCCCATACGCCCGCGACCTGTCGCGGGTGGAGGGTAGCCCCCCAGCCGTACCCTGACGCGTCGGTTGTGATAAGTACCGACGGGCGGGGCGGGCGAAAAATGCGGCCCTGCGTTATATTGGCCTCGACTAGCCACCAACGAAGGTGGGGGACTAGCCAAGACGTAGTGGGCACCGGATGGTGGATCGGGTGCCAGTGGGGTCTGTAGAAAGACAGCAGGTGAAGTTGAATTGGCCTCATCCTCAGCCTGCAAAAATCCACTAAGTCCACCAGACTGGCCATAAGGCCCAACAGCCTGAGCCAGGCTCGGGCCGGAGCCACTACCGTCGGGAGGAAGAGGGACACGCACTGCCGAAGGTTCAGTAGGCGGTCCTCCGATGGACGGGCCAGTCCCCTGCGAAGATCGAGGGATGCACCTAGAAAGGTGGGAACCTGAGAGGGGACTGGATGGGATTTCTTGGTGTTGATGAGAAATCCCAGGTCGGAAGCAAGATGCCACGTTAGTTGGAGCGCCGCTTCCGTCTCCCCTCGAGAACGACCCACTACTAGCCAATCGTCGAGGTACATGAATATCGTGATCCCTCGACGCCGCAGTGCCGCCCCGATCGTCTTCACGATCCGGGTGAACACCCGCGGAGAAGTGGATAGCCCGAACGGGAGCACCACAAATTCGTACAGTATATTTTTGTATTGGAAACGTAGGAATTTGCGATGTTCCGGCCTGATCGGTACGTGAAAGTATGCGTCTTTCAAGTCTATACTGGCCGCCCACGCTGGTGTTATGATCGATGCAAGAATGGTCCGTAACGTTTCCATGCGGAAACGTTTCGGACGTATGAACTTGTTGAGGGGTTTTAAGTTCAGTATTGGACGCCACACGCCGGTCTCCTTCTTGGGGGCCAAGAAGAAGGTTGACATGAAACCTGCCCGAGTCCCCCCTTGGGGGACAACACGAACTGCTCTCTTTAGAAGGAGGGCGTCGATCTCCTCCTCGAGGGAGCGGCGTTTTGCTGTGTTGGGCGGTACGGGCGTGTCCGAATAAGCATGTCCAACGGGGGGGGGGGGGGGGGGGGGGGTCCTCGTAAACTCGAGCGCGTAACCGCTGCTGATTGTTTCGAGGACCCACCGGTCGGAAGTCACCTGCACCCAGGACCCCACGAACTCCTGAAGGCGGCCTCCCACGGGTCCAGCGGCGGGAGGCCGCTCGGAGACGCATAAGTCACTTGCGCAACGCCCCGGTGTACCGGGGAGTGGGCGCACGGAAACCGCGTCCCGACTGGGGACGCTGTTGTCCGGTATGTGGTTGTGAATAGCGCGGGCCGACCGCCTTATCGGCGCGCCCACGAAATCCACCACGGGCCGCTCTGACCGGGGGGCGGCGCCGGGGAATGACAAAAGATGGCTGTTTCTTCTTGTCCACGGTTTTCGGCTCGGACGGTTTCTTGAGATTTATTTTCTCCGTGGCCTTGAGGCGCTTTGCCTCGGCCTCCATGGCCTCCTGGAACTTACCAGAAAATAAGTCCGGGCCTGAGAGCGGGAGATCATCGAGACGCTTTCGTGCTCCCGGTGAAGGGAGGAAAAGCGCATCTAGCACATTGGTGCGGCGTGACGATGTTGCTAAGGTCGACACTCTAGCAAACTGGTCGAGAGTGGAGCACAGGCCGCGATCGAGGCAATGGAGAGCAGCCACCATCATGTCGGCTGGTATCACCGAATCCTCTTCATATCCCAGTGCCAGGTACTCTGACAGGAGAAGAAGAAAGGACGTCACACGCATACCCATGCGTGCCGCCGAGTCCATTCTGCGGGTGACATCCTCCAGCTTTCCAAGGGTCTTGTCCGTAAAAGGAACCTTGGATGAAGCTGTCCCTCGGTCAGCGGCGAGTTTGTCAATGGCCGAGTCCGGCAGGACTGGAGTTGAGAAATATTTCTCAAAATCCCCTGGGGGGAAATGATAATATGAGTCTACGCGTTTAGCGTAGGCACTCCATGTCTTTGCGTGCATTATACCGTCGATGTGGTCAACGCACACGCGGTCCAAGGGCATTGTGGGAAAAGCCCGGACCGGTTCTGCCGTCGGTCCCGATCTCTTCTTGAACGACTGACACTCAGGAGGAGGAGGTTCGGTACCAGCAGGAAGATTCAGAACTCTGATCATATCCCGTTGGACCAAGCGGAGTTCGGTCTCAGCCACCGATAGGCGTTGCATGGTGCGGGTCAGTTCGCTCTCGTCCGCCGAATTGTCAGAGTCCGGGGGGCGAGTTGTCACCGGGGAATGGGAACCAGGCCCCGGGGGCGAAGCAGCGCCGTCACGGTGTCCCGGTATCGAGCCCCGCTCAGAGTCTAGTGACACCGATGGGTGTAAACTAATACCGGGCAGGACGCCGGTGCACGGCCCTCCGTGCACGGCATTGTCCGCTCTGTAGTCACCCCACCACGGCCGTGATGACTGGCGTGTGGGGGCTGTAATTCTGGGGGGGACTCCGGCGCACGGCTAACCGTGTGCGGTATGTCCCTTTGGCCCGGAGTCGGCCAACTGTGACCGTAATCTCCCTGTCAGCCCGACAATGAGGCCGCGAGGGAGTGAAAAGCCTCCAAAAAATCATCGCGTGAGATCGGGTCGCCACCCTTGTGGCGTTTCCCACGGTGTGATCGGCCGGATGACTCGCTAGAACTCGTCGAAGAACGGCGGGAATGGCGGCTCTTTGTTGATTTTTTCTTCTTTGAAGAACGACTCCGAGTAGTTGCTGAGGATTGCGGGGACACGGGGATGCCCGAACAACGAATAAAATCCAATGTAGAGGCATGGCCCTCCGAGCGTAGCTTTAAATCTCTGGGGGAATCCCAGGGATTCGGCTCTACGCTATCAATAGCCCGGGCGGCAGACAGCGCCCCCACGCCGGTAACATAGGCGGGTGCTGTACGGTCGATCAGCCGGCCATATAACAGCCCATCCCCAGGCATCGTGGTAATCACGGGGCTGGGTGGGCCTGGGTGCACTGAGCCATGGAGGAGTACTTCCTCCGGCTGCGTGTGCCCCGTAGACGGGCCAGGGACAGGCACGGTGCGCCCCGTAGCGGGGCCACCTTTTGCCGTACGTCCCTTTTTGGGTACTGCCCCGGCGTCAGACAATTTCCTTGTCTTGCCGGTGCGTTTCCCCTTCAGTTGGGCGGACCCGTGAATATTGACCGAAGACGGTGGGGTTGTACGGCCCCCCGCTTGGTCAACGGGTCCGTCAGCTCCGACAGCCGGCACTGGCTGAAGGGGCCGACTAGGGGACTGCTGCCGCGGTGACGTACCATCACCGGTGCAGTCCCCCGAGAACTCGGGCTTGTCTGGTGGGATGTACGTCCCTCCATTATCGACACACCCAGTCCTCCCCAACTTCCTAGATTTACTCATTTCTTACTTCACTTACACTCAAATACTTCACTAGAACAACTCTACAATAAACACTTTCTCTTTATTTCTTCGAAATAGCTTTCTCCAAGCAAAAGGAAGTACAAATAAATAGTGAAATTCAGGTCGATTGAAATTCCACGTTATACCTCGCCTGCGGCTAAGAGAAAAAGAGGACGCTAACGTAGTGCGCATGTCACAGGGCGTCGTGGGTAGGACACGTGAGGGCGCTATTGTATGTAAAACTCTTAGCGAATTGCCTGCCGGCATAGGGAACAATGCATATGTAGTATTCGCTCTACAGGTAAGTAGAGTGATGTAGACTGTGTAGTTTTTCTTTTCTTCCTACAAAGGATGTTAACTTGCATGGAGTGGTCAAGCTACATTCTCCAAAGGTAATGCATAATTAGTCAATTATCTACATCATTCAATTAAATGTAGAGTTGTGCACTTTGATTTCAAGGTATCTTTTTGTGTTTCTTCTTCAGTTTTTGGACCTCACAAAGAAGGAAAGATGGCATCAAGACAGCCTGATGTCACAGTTCAGTCTGTGTTGGGTAAGATCAGTCGAGATCATCTGCAATGTCCCATTTGCTCTGACCGTTTCACTGAGCCTAAGGTGCTTGACTGTCTGCATTCTTTTTGCCAGAAATGTCTGAAAAAAGTCAGACAGGGTCAACGTTCACAGGATGCAAAACTTGTGTGTCCCCTCTGCAGACGTGACACCATACTAAAGGGAGACGTTTCCGATTTGCCAAGTGACTTCAAACTGACCGCCTTGCTGGATGAGGTCAACGTCTATGAAAAGGTACTTGAAGGTCAAAGGTCGGAGATCAAATGTCAAGCCTGTGATGAAGAGAATCAGGCTGTGTCAAGATGCATGGACTGTGATCATTTTCTCTGCAAAGAATGCCAAGTGGCACACAGGCGTTTTTCTTCAATGAAATCACATCAAATCTACACACTGGCCCAGCTTCAATCAGGAGAGGTAACTTACAAGAGTAAGATTAGAGAGTACACTCCAAAATGTGCCAAGCATTCCGATCAAAATCTCACTATTTACTGTAACACATGTGAGAAGTTGGTATGCACAACATGTGCTATTGTAGATCATGAGAGACACTCTCGTGTTGATGTACCTGAAGCTGTCGATAAGTGCAAACGAGATGTTGCTAGAATGTCTGTAAAAGCTGAACAGAACAAAGCAAAACTGAAAACAAACATTAGTGAAATAGATGACAACTACAAAAAGCTGAATGCCATGTATGCAGACACCACCAAGAAAATCTCCAGTAAGGCTGACAAGGAGGTTGCTAGAATAACTAAGGTGATCAGAGAGGAAGAGCAGAAACTGAAGCAAGAGGCAGATACATTCTTCAAAGACAGAGCCAAGACATTGGAAACTGCTCATGCCACAAACAACAGTCGTCTGACTCACACTGAGAAAAAGCTGGATGAGGTGAACCAATTTGTGACTGAAGCAAGTTGCTACGAAATTCTGGATTTCAAGGCTAAACTCATATATAACCTGGAAGAATTGACCAAAGAACAATCCGAGGAAGAGCCTGACAGTTTGTGTTCCATTATGGACTTTGAGGAAGGTGCTGGGACGTCACTCGGAAGGCTGGTGCTGGAAGATACACAAATACCCAGCTCAAGTGCCACAGCTGAGACTTCACAGACACCTGTAAGATGGGAGCTGAAAAGAAAAATGGAGACATTTGGACCAACAAAGGAAACAGTTGCCAATGTTGATGAAATTGCCACATTATCTAACAATGAACTTGTCGCATTAGACGATGTGCATAACAAGTTAATCATTTTCTTAGCCGATGACAGCCTTCAGTCTGATGTAATTCCACAAGAACTCCAGCTTGCAGGTCTTACTAAACCAACCCATGTTTCAGTAAACAGGGATGACGAAATCATTGTTCTTGACAAACCTGCTGTCAAAATCTTCATTAGAGGCTACCAACCCTGTCTCCATCAGTTCCTGCCAGGTGAGGAGACAGGCAGCACCCCAACCTGCCTTGCAGTGGGTGGTGGGGATGTGATAGCAGTGGGTTATATGGGCAAAGAAGAGATCTCACTGCACAAGAGAGATGGATCCCTCATCAGGAGAATACCTGCTCCAAAGATTGGATCAAATTTGACGATCTACAAGCAGCACCTTTTCTACACTTGCTGTGGAGATAATAACCAAGGACTTCTATCATCAATTGACAGCTATGGTCGCATGGTTTTTTCAGTTGATATTCCCAGCAATATTCAAGGGGAGTGGTATGCTTTTGGTTTGTGTTGTGACAAAGATGGCAATATTTATGTTGCTGTATCCGGGTGGCCTTTAGCAAATAAACAAGGTGAAATTCAGCATTTCAGTGGTGATGGACAGTACATGGGCTGTATCATCAGTGAATGTGGTTGTCCAGGTGACATCACATGTACACCAGCTGGAGAGCTGGCTGTGGCAGCAATAGAAAGTGTTCAAGTCTATCATCGAGTGTAAAAATTGACAATGAATGTCAAAATAACAACATGACACAAAGAACTAATTCAAACGTTAGCAAAATATGTGAGACTTGCAAAACAGTGCTGGTTGTGTGTCATCATATCAATGTGTTTATCCAATGGACCTCATACTCAAGATATCTGAGCCGGTGATGGCAGAAAAGGACTAGGTTAAAGTCTATCATGACTCTAAAGCCAACATCAAATAATAATCAAAGAGAAATGAATGTAACTGAAACAATGACACGTGCACGTATTTGCAGAAAACATGATAAAGTGCATGTTAATGTACCTTTAATTAACCATTCAAAATATTTATCTCTAAAGTTGAGGGATCTGATACACCGTGCCCTCTGGAGACGTGCACACAATAAGGAACAAAAGATTGTATACGTCACCAAAGGGCAATTTCTATAGATGAATACGTCTCCACAAGATTTTCACGAAATAGATATATGGATTTTACTCAAAAACTAGGAATTTCCAAGGTGGGTTGATCCGTTGCAAATGAAAGAGTTTTAGAAAAGGGATATTAAGTTCAAATTTCAGCCAAGGAAATTAATTCTGGTTAAAATAAGAGCATTTTGAAACTTCACTTTCAAACTTTCAAACTTTAGTACATGAGAACAAAGAAATGTCTCCACAAGAATACAAATTTCAGTATGGGTGCAAAAAAAAAAAATTGTTGGACAGTCACATGTTGCAAGAACGTACATGCACACCATGTGAATGACCTGTAACTTAATACACAAAGTGCACCATGTCAAACAGCTGCTATATAACTGACATAAATTTCAAGGGACACGTTCGACCGGAATGCGCCAATTAAGGCTCTTAATGCAATTTTCACAGATTTTAATAATCATAGCTGGAACGACTGTTAAAAAGTGGAAAATCAAAGTAAAAGGCACATAACTATACCTTTAAAATTGCAGTTTCAAAATCTGAAGAAGGATGCTGAACAATCAATCCGATGAAGTTTCAGCTTAGCTTCAGCTGCATTTTTTTTGAGAAAAACAACATTCTAGGATCTTGATTTCAAATCAAAAGTTGCTGAATCATGTTTGATACGTAATGTCGTTCACTAATCCGACGAATTATAGCAACCGCGCGCGCGCGCGCGTCCGTCATGCCAATGCTTGCGCGCGCTTCGCCAAATAACAAAACAAACTACTAATTTGAATTTCCTACGGTGCTTCTTAAGCACCGTTGGAAAGGCCAACATGACAGCTTGCCAGAAAGAATAATTTCACAGGGAGTTTAGTCCCCTTATCTTTCAACCAAGTATGTTTTTCAACAATAATTACTCGAGTCACTTTTTGGATAGCTGCAAATGATGGACTCTGGTTTTAAGTCTGTTGATTTTTGAAGTCAGTTGACAGTGTGTATCCTTTTGTTGAATCACTGTTGAGTAGGCAGGTTGAAACTTTACTTTAAACTCTTGAATCTCATCTGAAACATGGCATCCCTGTCTTTAACATCAAAGACATAAGCTAAAATTTAATTTAAACCCAAATATTTGATAATCTGGAGGATGAAAGTGATTTTAAGATTTCCATCTATGTAGGGAATTAGGATCAAGGGATGTGAAAATGGGGGTTGGGTTTTTGCTCTGACAGACAAATTAGTTTTATAAGATGTTCTAGGTGGGTTTTCTTTTTAATGCACAAGAGCACTGCCTACATTTTTTTGCACATTATGTAAAAAAAAAGAACTTTTAAACTCTTTAATCAATTCTGGAATTTGGTATCTCTTTCCTGTCATCACAGATACATTGGCTAAGATTGAATTCAAAAACACATTAGCATTTAACCGGAGAACAAAAGTGATTTAAAGTTTTTTATTAAAAAACTGTGACGTACATTGTAATGCAGGCAAGGATTCACTAAGGATTGAAAAATAAACAGGCGGGGGAATCACACGACACTCCCAGGAATGAAAGCACTTTTAAAAAGAAGCTAAAGATAGCCTTATTTTTGAATGTGCAAGAGCAATGTAAAAATGCCACATTTTGTAAATATGCAGAATTTTTTTTTCAATGAAGCTTTTACAAAAAATATATAAATAAATAAATAAAGATATAAAACTCTGCAACAAAAATGGCATTGGGACCCTTGATCTCCTGGATCTGTAATATCTGTAAGTCTGTGAGACCTGTACGTCCACTTACAAACAATTAAACTAAATATGGCTTGTCAGCTTGTAAATAGGCAAATGAGAAGAACAATTGATTGAATTTTGTACCTTGCATAAGCTTAAAGATGTACTGTCCATGCTAGTTTAACCTACCAAAATAGAGTATATTTTCTATTCTTCTTCTGATATAAAATTCATCCATTTTTTTCTATTGAGACATCAACCGAAACAAATTGGTCTACTGTACGTTTTATTATGGACAAATTTATTTAGAAATTTCAAATTACAATGTTTATATGCAGCCAAAGTTTAATTCAGCTCTGGCAAGGAAGACTGGGCAGTTCCCGTCAACATTTTAGAGCAGATAATGTAGGGATCTCAGGCATGTAACTGAGAATTTAGAAGGAAAAAAAACGAGGAAATTCCAAACCACACAAGACTTAATACAGTGTTTTTAAATTTGTTATGGCATTTGTGAGAAGTAAAAAACGAGGAAATCAGCGGATCCAAGGACAAGTTGCATGGCTGGGATCTGTTTGTGTGCAACAGCAACCCAAAATTTTTCTTTCAGAGGGTTGCAAATGCGCAAAATTGAAGAAAAAGTAGAAAATCAAAAGTAGTTTTCTTCTTATCGAAATTCACTGGGAAAGACTCAGAAGCACGAATAGTACATTTTCATATGCTGAATACGAATGTGTAACAAAGCTATGAAAATAATAATTACATTGCTAGAATTAGGATGTACATGTACCTGGTAACACCATCTGTACTGCTTGATAAAGACTGTTATACACCTTAAGTATTGTAATGGCCGCAATTATAAATCGGTCATCCCAACTATACTGAGTTGGTGCTATCACAACTATAGTTAGTTGGTGCTATCACAACTATAATTGAAACTGAATTCCAAACTATAATTCCAAACTGAATTTGTGATAATCTGGAGGTGTTAAGGAGGCCCATGTAAATGAAATGAGTAGTCAGTTTGATAAGACTCCTTTTGCGTGTATAACGTACGGGCCTATTTACACTGCGCACCATATAAAAGGGATTCCAGGCAGATGAAAAATAAGAATGTTCTGGTTTCAAAGGACCCGTTTACAATCTGGGCACATACTGCGAAGTAGATTGATATTAAAAGAGATGTATTAATTCACATAATACTGCAAGCTTTATATGCCTAAGTGAAAACGTTTTATCTCTGTGCAACATACTGCCTTTTTTTCTCCTCCTGTTATAGTGCTTCTGTGTAAATAGGCCCAAAATATGGCTTTTCAGCTTGTAAATAAGCAACAGAGAAAAACAGCAGAAAACGTATTGATTGAATTTTCCATGTTGCATATGTCTACATGTAAGCTATTAGTTTGTAACACAGCAACAAAAAAATTATCTGGAACAAATAGAATGCCATCCTCAAAAGAAATATTAGAATGAAATAATCGTGTGATATTTAAGCAACAAGGGCTGTGTCTGTTTTTGTCTGTACTACTTTCAGCGGTGCATCATGAAGAGGGCACAGCAGGGAAGGATAGACTTCCCTCAAGGGCGTCAATCGCTTTTCAAAAGTGGATGGGACATACGTGGGTGCGAGCGGGAAGTGCAATCCCTAATGGTATGGTGTTCTGGGCCAGCTTAAGGGCCCCGAAAAATGTTGGATTTTGGCCGCTCTGAGGTGTGATCTGAGGCAATTTCTGACCACTTTAACCAATTTTCTTTAGCAATAAGATCATCATTTAAACATCCTTTTCGAGTTTGGAGTCACTGATCAGTTATTCTGAGCTGTAGAATCATATGTACTGGTAGGCTACATTTTTTATTCTGGGATGAAAAAAGTGTGGGGGGGATAAACAATACATCCCCACTTTAAAAAGTTGGGGGGGGGGGGACTCGTTCCTCCCCCTCCCTGCAAATTTAGGTCCACCACTGAATTTATGAAATAGTCTTTGAAATGTTGCAATTGGCTTTGAAAGTAAAACATGTACAATGCCTATTGGCATTCAGGATATCGATACAATAACTTAAGAAGACAAAAATTCAGGACAAACAAACAAATCTGAAGTTTTAACTGCAACTATGCTGAAAACTCAAAAACAAAAAGAAATGTTAGGGATGCTTTATTATTATGATTATTCTTTATAGATATATTTTTTTCAAGCAGTGTGTGCTGTCAGAGAGTTTGTGAGAGAAAATTTCACAAGTTTGCTCCAGCACAGCAATATTGTATACCTTATATTATAACCAAACCAGCCAGCCAAGTTCTAAATTTTGAAGTTTTAAATGAATTGAGACAATTAAAAAATAGTTTTGATTTTTCCAATCAATTTTACATGTAAATGTTGGCGTGCTTTCTTTTTCACGTAGTTCTCCTATCTGTTTCATCTATCAATGTTGATCAGCGTTTGATTAAAAGTTACAGTATGTTGGACTCCCCAGAATCACAGTGATTTGCAATGACAAATTTTAAACACAAGTAAATTTACTAAAAGTACATGGATTTCAAGGGGGGGGGGGATATGAAAGTGGAAGTTATGGAGGGGGGGGGGTTATGAAGGGGCATTCAGAGAAGGTGTGCCAAGGCTTGGGATGTCCGGGTGCGCATGCTCCCCCTCCTATCCCCCCTCCTACCACCCCCACCCCCCTTCCCTGAAATGTTGAAATGTACGATGCTTCTTCCCTTATTGTAAGGCAACTTTAGAATAAACTAAAGAACTTTAGTATTCCATTTATATTTAGGCCCATGTTACTAGTATTAATCTGGCCGGGGGAGGGGGGCCTTTAGATCCGCCACTGTGCATGCCAAGGTTAATATGGCTTTTTATTGCCTTACAAATGGGATACACGGTAAATTAAGGACAAACTACTTTTCTTTCTTGAATACAAATATCAGAAGGAATTGAATCCATGCACTTAGGCCTAATTGTCTTCAATCATGCTTTTGCTTCATGGTTCAAATCTGTCCATACATGTATGTACTAAGATTCGTTTTAGCAGGCTCTTATAGAATTATTCACTGCTATGACATAGCAGCAAATATTTCTATGTGACCCTGCTAAAACGAGTCTCTTGTGATGAGGTTAAATATTCTTACTACTGCAGGGTTAGGAACTGTTGTTGTAGATCTCAAAATCGGTACACAGACAAACTACGTGTAGTATGCATGTACAGTCCCTCCATGTACAGACCCCAGGTCACTGCACATGCGTAACAGATGAGAAAAGACTTTTGTTAAACCAG